AAAAAAAAAAAAAAAGAATTTTTTTTTTTTTCTTGCGGACTAAAGCGAGCCGCAAATCTACATAGGGCTACAAACAAAAAAAAAAAAACATACATGGTAAAAACAAAAGAAAAACAAATATAATGGTCAATACGCACCTGTCCCATTAATTAATAATTGTGGATCTGAGTTTGAATTCCTTGTCTTTTTCACTCTAGCTTTCGACGTAATCACAGGGTGAAAGGAAAGAGAAGGATCAAGAGGAGGTGGATGTATTTCCTTGGGTTTTGATAGACGTTTTACAACGTTTCGTCTTACCCCATCATCGTTTTCGTACGCACGTTGACCTCGTTCAGTAATATTTGGATGAAAAGAAGGGATAAAAGCAGCATTATACTCTTGTTGAAGTTCCTCTTGGTGTTCTTTTTCTTCCTTCGTTTGATACAATCGTTCGTAAAATGGTCCCTGACGAGAAATAGATCTTGCCCGAGGTGAAATTTCTGGACGGAATGAGTACGTGGTTGTATCTGGTGGTGGTGCAGGGCGATCCAATAGACGTTGAGATATTTGAACAGGACCACGTTGTGGTGATGATCGACGGGGAGATACAGGTGGGGATTGACTTGCTGCTCGACGTTGAAGAATTTCTTTTTCTGGATAAAGTCGCTGGTGAAAGGGACGAGAATTTTCAATAACTTTGGCCCGAGGTGAAATTTCTGGATGGAATGGGTATGAAGGTACATCTGGTGGTACAGGACGCTCCAATAGACGTGGAGATATTTGAACATTACCACGTTGTGGTGATGATCGACGGGGAGATACAGGTGGGGATTGACTTTTCGCACGTCGTCGCTCTAATTCTTCTCTTGATGGATAAAGTCGATGGTGAAACGGATTTCCATTCTCTATCGCTCTAGCCCTGGGAGAAATGTCAGGACGAAAAAGTTGAGAATTTGAACCTTCAATCAAGTCCGCCATACGGGGCGAACCTTGTGGTGAATGACTATTAGATAGACCAGTTCCATCTCCCGGAGAAGCTGGTTTAGGAGTATATAGGCGTTCATGATAAGGAATAGCAGAGCGCTGTGTTTCTCTCGCATATTTTGAAATTTCTGGTTTAAATGTTGGTAAGGGTTTCGCTTCCAACTTGCGGCGTGATGTACTCCGTGAGCGCTCTTGAGATGCTGCTCTCAATTCCGTTACGGTTTCTGGTGGTGGTGGTGGTGCCGCTGCTGCTGCTCCAAATGATTTCTGCAGACGTTGTGGTAACCGACTGGCACGTCTTCCACTTGTTTTCGGTTGAAATGTATACTCCTCTATAGAACGTGCTACTATCCTCCTATCTCGTTCCCTTATCTCTTCCATGTCAAGAAGAAGGCGTCTGTGAAAAGGTGGTATGATTGATTCCTGTAACCTTCCTTGGTTCTTCTGACGATAAATTGCTTTCATACCCTCTTTTGATAACTTCCGGTCTCGCATAATTTCTCTCATATCGGCGGTTGGCATAGAAATACATGACATAAACAATGATGATTCAGAGTATGAGATATCACCATTTTCCTCTTCTACTTCTACTATTCCTGATTCATTCCCATTAAGCTTTCCAAGATTGCCGATAGTAAGTGGAGTCATGTTTATAACCCCTCCGTTTTCTTCTATATTTCCGTTCCCTAACTGTAAATTTTGTGAATCTCGTTTTACATTTTTGTCCTTTTCTGCGGAAGCACCAGGAGAAGCGTCATTCGATAAGTTCTCTTTTACCGTAGCATTGATCTTTACATCAGAAAGACTCAAATTACTCTTTTCAAGATTTTGATCATTTTCATCCTTCTGGATTAAATTTCCACTTTGATCTGAGCCCAAAACCTTTGATAAATCAGTGGAATTTTCATTCCTTGAGGGAAGCCTTTGAATGTTCTTCTCTTCCTTTGAGGCATTAGGTTCTTGTTCATTGTTCACATCGCCATCTCCGAAAGGATCATCCTGATTCTTCTTAAATGAAACTTGTTCACATACTGAACCATGAACAGAACTCTTACATTCCTTTATAGAGTCTCTTTTTACATCATTTCCTACACCCTCTGCGTTCAGAGCAAGATCTGTATTATTAAGCACATCAACTTTATTGTTTCCATCAGCACATGTTACGGGAATATCCTCTACAATTAAAGCAGATCCTTCTTGTTGAACCGTATCATTATGGGTAGTAGGGTGCAATTCGTCAGGAATAAATAGATCATCCTCTGCGGTAAGCATAGAATTCTTTGTACTTCTATTTTGGCTTGACCGTATAGAACTTGGACCTTCAGAAGCCACTCGCAAAGAGTTACGTTGTGGTAACCTTGATGAAGCTCCTGGATTTTTGGGTGGACAATGTTCAACAGCCACAAATAACGGTAAACCACGTTTAGATGGATCAAATCCATAGGTTTTCTCCCAATATTTTTCTGACAAAATCATTTTTACCTCATTTGTATTAGAATCCATCATAGGTGTAGAGAACGGTTGAACCTGCAAGTTGTTTGAGTTGCTGTTTTTCTTCGTTCCTTCTTCAGCTATTACGCCTTGTAGTTCCCCTACTAAGGAAGAAACTTCTTCTTTACGATTGTCTTCTTTTTGATTACTCATTTTTACATTGATATTTTGTCCCTGAGTTTGCTCCTCTAATAAAGATTCTTTAGCAGAAGATAACTGTCCAGTTGATTTTACTTTCTCATTGGTGGCAGTTATTGATTGGTTTACTGAACCACTTCCCTTTCTTCCATGTTTTGATTTTTCTGACCCAGTGAAACTGTCAATACTTCTTCTTTTTGGTGGACCTCTTTTTTCTTGAACATCCTGAGGGAATGATCCACCAGAAAGTGGTGTAGGAGAATTTGCAACATTGAATGATTGTTTACAACTTTGATTAGCAATATCTTTTTCAGATGATGTTGATGTCTTTATTATATTCACCTCATGATCAGGTGGAGCTGTTGCTTCTTGTTTTATTACATAATCTTTCTCAAATGGATTTGGTACCTCTTCTCTCCTCATAATATCACTCGTCGGTGGCACAAGAACTTGTGGGTTTTCTGATTTGGGGAAGATAGGATCTTGATGCACAGGTCTGATAGGGTCCGTCCCTGCTACTGCAAGATTAGGAGCATCCAGTACTGGACGCTGCGTTCTTTCATGTGCATCATCCGAATCCGAATCACTGTCTTGGATCCGGAGGTGGGCAAATCTGTCACGCAGCATTGCAAACCTTACCTTAAGAAAATAAAAACTTCGATCGTTCTATCAAAAAAATAGAATTGTACTCTTATTGATTTACTTGATCTTGTGCCTCGTAGCACCTGCAAAAAAAAAGGAACGAAGGAAAGAAAGGAAGAAAGAAAACAAAAAGCATACAACCGCGGTAACAAGGGAAATTCCTTGACAGATACAGGGAGAACGAATTATAGCAAACAATAATTAAACAAAAAAATAGTTCCATTCATTTGGTTATATTTGAAAGAAAAATAATGAAAAGAAAAAACGAGCCATTCCGCCTTACTTCTTCTCGTTCTCCCTGGCCTCCTTGCGCGCCGCACGAGCCTGGCGGGCACCGAAGAAGCGAGCAGCACTGTGGTTCTTCTTGAGGAACTTGTACACATTCTTTGTACGCTCTTCCTCTGTCACCTTGCGGCTCTGCTCCGGAGCGGGGGTCACGAGTCCACCAACAGCCGCTGTACCGAAGCGTGTGCGGTCCTGTGTGGCGGCACGGATCTCCTCCTCCGAGGCCTCACCCTTCTGCACCTTCTTGTGGTTCAGTGGGAAGAGCACCAGCTTGCTCATGTACGTCTTCAGGCGCTGCACATTGATGTTCATGCCCTCCTCGCTCTTGTTCTTACGGCGGCGGTCCACACGGATGCCGATGGTCACGGCGAAGTGGGGGTTGACGCCAGCAGCCTTAAGCTCCTCCGGTGTGAAGCCACGGCCAAGACGCTTCTTCATGTTGTGACGCACTGTAGGGCAGTTCACCTGAGGGCGCAGTGCCTTAAGAGGACGTGGGAAAACCTTCTTTGCCTTCACCAAGCGCAGACGGCGGCGGCGCAGCTTCTGTGCGGGCTGGTTAAGGAATACCTTGTAGTTACCCTTCTGCGATGAGCATGGGTTCCAGTGCTTCCTCTGGTGCACGTGGGGGATCGCGTTGTTTCCCTTCGGCATTGGCGCTGCAGCTCTAAAGTAGTAAGGGGAAGTCACAAATCAGAAGAGAAAAAAGAAAAGAAGAAAAATAGGAGAACAAAAAATCTTCTCGGGAATGCGAGAAAACACACAATTCATCTAAATGCAAATACCACATTTTCCATTACCAAACGGCAATCATGAAAAAAAAAAAAATCAAAGATAAATAAAAATAGGTAAAAAAAAGAGTAGGTACCAAACACCTCAAAACACAGAAAAATTACTTCTTCTCGTTCTCCCTGGCCTCCTTGCGCGCCGCACGAGCCTGGCGGGCACCGAAGAAGCGAGCAGCACTGTGGTTCTTCTTGAGGAACTTGTACACATTCTTTGTACGCTCTTCCTCTGTCACCTTGCGGCTCTGCTCCGGAGCGGGGGTCACGAGTCCACCAACAGCCGCTGTACCGAACCGTGTGCGGTCCTGTGTGGCGGCACGGATCTCCTCCTCCGAGGCCTCACCCTTCTGCACCTTCTTGTGGTTCAGTGGGAAGAGCACCAGCTTGCTCATGTATGTCTTCAGGCGCTGCACATTGATGTTCATGCCCTCCTCGCTCTTGTTCTTACGGCGGCGGTCCACACGGATGCCGATGGTCACGGCGAAGTGGGGGTTGACGCCAGCAGCCTTAAGCTCCTCCGGTGTGAAGCCACGGCCAAGACGCTTCTTCATGTTGTGACGCACTGTAGGGCAGTTCACCTGGGGGCGCAGTGCCTTAAGAGGACGTGGGAAAACCTTCTTTGCCTTCACCAAGCGCAGACGGCGGCGGCGCAGCTTCTGTGCGGGCTGGTTAAGGAATACCTTGTAGTTACCCTTCTGCGATGAGCATGGGTTCCAGTGCTTCCTCTGGTGCACGTGGGGGATCGCGTTGTTTCCCTTCGGCATGTTCTAGACCTACTCTTTTCATTTTTAGTTGTTATTGTTGTTGTTGGTACAGTGGTCAAAAATAATATAGGGAAAAGAAAACAAGTTGAAAATAAGCAAATGTGGAAAGCCACGGTAACACTGGGTTAAGGTGAAAAAAAATATATATGCATGAATAGCAACACAGAAAAAAAAAAAAAAAAACAGAATAGACCCATAACAAACAATATTAATAATAACATATAAACGCGAGAAAAACGAAACACCCCCGAGGAAAAAAAAAAAACAACTTCCTTATATGGGAACGAAAAAAGAAAAAGCGTTGCCTTTTTCTTTCGTCTTCCTGTTAAGCACCTCCCCTTTCGATCACATTCTCTGCGCACCCCTCAATTTTCTTCGCGGTCAAATGCCGCCCAAGGGAAGGCAATAATAAAACAAAAAAAAAAAAAAAAACAATAGAGGCGTAGAAATACACAGGGGAGGTGTGGAACACGCCGAGCCACATAGAGTTGCAGTTTTCTCTTTTTTTTTCCTCTGCACTCATCTTTTTTTTTTTTTATTTTTTGTGTTGAAATATTTGAGGCAGTTTAATATAGGTACTACTGAATCTTCACAGGAGTTGATGTGCGGTCTGTCTTGGCTTCATCCTTTTTTACCTCAACCACCAGTACCGAATTCTTCAAACTGGCCTTTACACTATCCTCTACCAGAGGTGTAGGAAGCTGTAAACAGCGCTCAAAGCGCCCAGATCCACGTTCCGCGATCATAGTGAGATGTCCCTCGTCTTCCTTCGTCAAAGCCTTGCGATTGCCCCCAATGCAGATGCGAGTGCCATCAATATCCACTGAAACATCCTCGCGGTTCATTCCGGGCAAATCGGCGATGAGTTTGTAGCCGTCCGGCTTCTCAATAAGATCCAGCGCCGGCACCCACGTTCCACGAACAGTAGACGTAATGAAACCAGGAAGAGTGCTGGAATGCATGCGGTTAAGAAGGCGATCAAAATCACGAAATGGGTCCCACATTTTTTTTTTGTTGTTGTTTTAACTTAAACTTTGTAAAAGAGGTTTTATGGCTCTGTTTACTAAAGAAAGAGAGAATATGATATGCCTTTTGTAGGGTTGTTTCTTCAATACAGATATTGGATAGAAAGAAAATGAGAATTAAGAATCAAACTAATACTAGAATGAAAAAATTTTTAATTACCTTTAGCATAGTAATAAAACACACATGTAGCACAAGCCTGAAAATATGTGAAGAAAAAACAAAATATGTATACATATATATACATATATATATATATATATATATATATATATTTTCCAGGGGTGTCAAAAAGACAGAATAAAATTTTTGTTGTTTGTTTTTTTTGTGTGCGTGTATACAACTATACGTTTTTGATAGTTGATTTCGGCTGAATTTATTAAAATAAAGTAAAAAAAATGAATTGATATAATAGAAATAGTTCCAGTAGCAAAAATAAACAATTCAAAAATTGCCTTGCATACATAAGCAATACATACACACCTCTATAATGTGTAGGGATGGTCGTGGAAAAGAAAAACAAAAGAATATGAGGGAAGTGCATGTGAATGACAGAAGAACATGAGAAGCGTCCACAATGACAACAAAAAGGCGGAAACCCGAGAACGAATTGTTTGGTGCTCAGTGAATTCCTTTCGAATGAGTGAAAAAACAAACAAAAAAGAACAAAAAAAAAAAAAAACTCTTGTGCTGCACTTTCAGAATCCAGATAGATATCTGCAGTTCCAAATAAAAAAAAAAAACTGAAAGTAAGCAATATACCCATTTTCACGATGGAAACACAAGAACAAAAACAGAAACAAAAACAAAGAAAGAGAAATTCAAAAAAAAAAAACAACAACAAGACATACCTCTCATTTTCTTCTCGAATAGTTATACTCAGAGAGAGAAACAAAATACATTCACAAAAAACATTCACATTCACACTCTCTCCTTTCTCCAACTCCTCCTTCACCTCCCTCATCCCTCCAACACTCACTTTCACTCTTGTGGATTCACTGAAGAGTGTTCCTCCTGGTATTTCTGCCATATCTGTTTATTTTCATTACAATATTGTAGTGCAAACCGGAGGGATGGAAGAAATTCAGAGATTACTTCCACCATTGGGATAACAATGTACATCATAAAAGATATTTGTCCCTTGGGGAAATCCACAATCTCTTTGGTACGATCCATAAACGGGGAAATAGGAAGATTACATGCCACTTCAGCATCACCTTGGTTATAAAATTCCCTCGCAATATTTCTCGCCCACTCTGCATAAATGTAATGAGGACGGGCGCAATTGGATATATCTGCCATTTTTATACTCATAGATAGTGCTAAACGAACATCTGTTTTGTTTGTGTGCCAATCTGTAGTTTCTCCCATGCGTAATTGAAAACTTTTAAAGATTCGTCCATGATTACCCATATCAGTTGCTAATACCATTTCTATCATTGTTTCACGTACAACACGTAGTTGTTCATCATTAAGAGGTGCAAAAACGTTATACGCAGGATTTTTAAGTAATTCATAAACTGAAGCAACATGATGATTCTCAAGGATAGAACGATCATTATATAATGTACTCAAGTATGCATTCGTTTTGGAATGAAAATTATTATTAAGACCAGGATGATCAAAATCATGAATAGCACCAGCTATGACTGCGGCAAGTATTTCTTCTTTACTCAATTCACATTTTTCTTTTAATCCAGCTATCATAATAATATAATAATTAATTTGTGTAACATCAGCTGCATGCATAGCATTATGATATGGATTTGGATGATATCCTGATTGAACCTCCAATAGAAAACGTTGTAGAATCTCATCATCAAGGTTAAAATGTGCTACCAAGTCCAATTTATACATAAGCAAATATGTTGTATAAAATAGTGCATTTCCATTTGTTATAATTTCCAATTGAATTGCATCATAATCCCATCTGTCTATACCTTGAAAAATTTTAAACACATCTCTTATCGATTGAGAAGAAGATTCTGTTAAATATGGTTGTAATGCAGGTCGATCTAATAATTCAACAACATTTTCTAATTTCATTCCAGGAGAAAGAGGGAAAACAGATCGTATACAAGCCAGAATATTTGGATCCACAACTTCTTTTAGTGGAAAATGTTTTTCGGCTTGTGGAACATGTTCAAAGTACTGTGCACCACCATTTTCATAAAGTTCATCTAATGGATGTTTTTTAATTCGTGTATCCCGTATTAAACGAAGTCGTCGTTCAACAGCTTTTACCTCAAGAGCAAGTTTCATAGTTCTCTGTGCTGTTATTGAAGACTCCTCTCGTAATGGACGAATAATAGTTAATAATTGTTGAACCTTTTTCTTATAGTGACGAGCACTAGCACTTTTCACTGTAAAGTCAGACTCAATTTTTTCTACTTGAGTCATTCGATTTGACATTTCTGCAGAATGATGACGAATTTGCAGCATACGTGTTAAAGGGGCAACAAAATACTCAAGCACTGCCGTTGGTTTTGCAGAATGTCCAGGACCAGAGACTTCTTCAAGCGTACATAGATATAAATAAGTAACATTAGGTTCTTTACTGTTAACAATGGTAAATCGTACTTCCTTCGTCTGATGTGTAAGAGACTGAACTATTGCTTTGCCTTTTAATACATCTGAGGCAAGAGATTTAAAAAATGGTCCCCATGAAAACGGTATTCCAGCAGCCTCTTTAGAAGCCAGTAGTTCTTTATCTGTAAAACGTTTTGCAAATACGGCTCCTGAAGAGTTTTCACGGTAAGAAATAGTGAGTTCATTTGTTACTGGTGCACAATACAATAATAACAGACCAAGAGACGTCCAACCTCCTTTAGGACGATCATCCATAACAACAGCCCCTGATTCCATAATATATTTTTCCTTTCCTGGCATACGCATTTGTTGTGCCCCTGAAGAAGACTTAGTTAAACCAGTAGCAGGACTAGTAATACAATTAGTGGGTGCGGTAATATTTTCACTGATGACAGCAGTAGCCGCAACAACACCAGTAGCATCAGCAGCTTGAATAGTTGTGGCATCAAGCTTTGGTGAAGTTCCCATGTAGAGAGCCAACGCCGGTGGTGTGTTGGAACTGGATGACTCTTTTGTCGCACCGCAGCCCATTGTGTTCTTTTTAAACGTACAGGTTTTATATATACACACACGTTATAAATATATATTTATATACTTATATGGGGGAAAAAAGATGAAGAGACAGGACAAAAAAAAAGAGAATGATAACTCCCTTAGTCTCTTTTTTTTTTTTTCTTCTTATTCCTCCTTCCTTGAGTCTCAGACCTACTAGGGAATAGATACGAATTATGAAGGTAACAAGTAAAAGAATAGAATAGAAAGAAGAAAAGAAGTTTACGCAGAAATAAGACATACCAATAACAACAACAACAAGAAAGAAAAAAAAAAAAACAGGTTATTTGCTACAGAGCGAACTCCACAAAAAAATTCAAAACAGTAAAAGAAATTATTCCTCTACAGTGTATTGGACAAAGGAAACAAAAAACGAAAAAAAAAAAAAATTAAAAAATAGAAAAAAAAAAAAACGAAAGTGCCTAACACTACAATGGAAAGAAAACAATGCTCATAAATAAAACATAAACAGCAAAATTAAGAAAAAAAAAAAAAGCATACGCCTTTGTATCATTTTCATATTTACAGTTGACAATATAACCTAGTGAGGAAAGAAGAAAGAAAAAAAAAAGAAATGCGTCTTTCCTCGTTTTTTTTTTTTTCTTTTCATTTACTCGTCGTTGTCGTTGTCGTTTTTTTTTTTTTTCTCGAGTACGTGTACGTGCAAGGATTAAAAGAACTCCTCCCAAGAAATCAAGGAAGCCAAAAAAAAAAAAAAAAAAAAAAAACATTTTTTTTTTTTTATTTAAAAACGAAACACAGGTTGAGTACGACGCAATGGTGTAGAAGACCTTTGACGGGGTCTTTGATATTCCTGACGTTCGTCCTGTCCACGAGAAGAGGTGTTTTTTCGAGATATAGAGGAATTTCTTCGAGATACTGGTGGTGTATATTCCATATACTGTTTTGGTGTGGCCAAGCGATTAATTCTTGGATTACATGTTGGAATAGTCACCTGAGAGAAACGTCGAGAGATATTATTATGATGATTATTATTATTAATACTATGATGACGTCGACGTCGTGCATTTTCTTCCGCCTCCTCTTCCGTAAAGTTCAGTAAACGACCATAATTTGGTGAAGGAGGTATAAGGGTGGTGTGATCCGGACCACGTGGAAGTGCGAGTTTATCAATACGTTTATTGGTTGCAAATGGTGTAATGCCAGGAAGCATCTCACTCGTTTCCGGATCTCCCAAGATTGAGTTTTTTCGCTGCGGTGCAATGGGTGTAATATCATTATGTACAGATACATGCCTTGTTCCCATATACTCTTCTTCTTGTTGGTGGTGTTGTTGTCGTTGTCGTTGTTGTTGTTGTTGTTGTTGTTTCTGCTGCTTCAACACTGCATCCTTGTATAGATGCGTAAATACATCCCGCTGATGGTGTTCCACGTCCGTATTTCCACCACTGCTCATATAAGTAGAATTACTTTTGAAAGTATTGACATCTGATACCATTATAAATTGTATTTTTTGTCTCTTTTTTTCTTTTTCCAGTCTCTTGCTTTTGTTTTCGTGAATATAACAGAAAAAAAACTAGCGAAGAACAATAGAGCCTAAAGAAGTAAAGAATTGTAGAGAAAAAGAAAAAAAGGGGGGTAACATTTCTAACGGCACATAAAAAGCAAAATAAAATATATAAGCTTATATATATATATTTCCAGAGATACAATAATACAAATACACATACACCATGTATTCATCACACCACCAGCGAAGTAAAGAAGAAAAAAGGAAAAAAGAAAAATGTACACCAGGTGTGAAATGTCAGCCACAAGGTTTCCTCACCCATCTAAAAAAAAAAAAAAAAGGAAAAAAAATTTATATATATATACAGAGAGGGAAACTGAGGTTCTAAGAATAGGAAACAAAAATAAAATAATTAAAAAAAAACCAGTGAGATACCATCAAGAGTACAAGGAAGGAGGGATACACAAAGAAGAACCCGTTTCATCACTAATCCCATTAAGGGCAGAGTTATAAATGCGATTGTAAATACGTTCATACACGGATAGATCATCATTTTTCCGTATTTGTTGTTCTTGCTTTTGTTCTTGTTCTTGTTCTTGTTCTTGTCGTCGTTGTGGTTGCAAATCCAACTCATCTCTATCTGGTGACATGAGCCGCACATGCGGGGGCCGCTGTAACGAACGTACGGGTGTTCCTTCACGTCTACCCAAAACAAATTCCTGCGGAGTGGTGACGGAAGGTCGTGGAGCACTTGATGGCCGTCGCTGCAATCGCATTTCCCGCTCTTGTCGGAGACGACGGGCTTCTTGTTGTCGCTCCAAATACTCCTGCACACCCCACGGGGTTCCATCACCACCGTAGACACTCTCCCCACGTGCGGAAAGTGGATAAGTGGTTTCTCTTTCTGGTTTAAAGGTACAATCTCTTACCTTTTCTATTTCCTTACGCTGACGCATCTCCCGTAGTTTTCCTTCTCTACGGGCAAGCCATTGTTGATTCCGTGTGGCAACATCTTCAGGTCCTCCGATGTTTGCTCCTCTACCATTTGTAACGGGAGCAAAAGTACACTCCTCACGTTGGCGTCTCTCCTGTTCCTCTTGAAGTCGTCGCATTTTCTCTAATCGACGTTCTTCATATGATTGTAAAGCCTCTGCCATTGATTCAGGTAGAGAAGTTACACGAGAAGTAGTACCTCTGTTACTTCCATTAAAGGATGACTCTGCTGCTGCTGCTGCTGCTCCTACTTTTACTCCTGAAATTGTTGTTTTTGTTTCTGCTTCTACTTCTCTTTCTGTTGAATCCATATATCTTTGGACTCGTCTTGGATGACGATATAGACGCTCAAGAGAGGTATCAGGTAATCTTGCTGCAATTGCCTCACTTACTGGATCAATTGCCGGTTGATGTCGACGTAACTCCTCCGCTTCTTCTCGACGTCGCATTTCCTCTTTAAGAACCATACTTTGCATATGTTTCTGCATAAGTTCATCTTCAACATTACAAAAACGTGGTTTTGTAGCAGCGTGTGGACTAATTCTAGGAGTAAATAAAGGTCTATTATTATCATATTTTAGTTGACGTTCCCTTTGTAATCGACGTACTTCTTTTTCATAACTATCTGCATATAATCGTTCTGCCGCATCACCTTCTCTCTGAAGTGTAGCAGCATACAAAGTAATTTGAGGAGTTTGTTCTTTCCGTTTTTCCATTTCATGTCGTTCCCAACGTTTAACTTGTGCAATGCGGTCCCTCTCAATAAGGGCTTCAATTCCACTGAGACCTGATAATCCTTCCCTCTCTCGACGACGAGCTGCAAGTCGCTCAGATCGGGGATTTATAATAGGTCCATCCCGAACTTCACTAAGATCTTCAAGTACTTTTGCTGTACGTATAGCTTCTCTTTTCTCTTCACGACGACGATACCAATCATTCTGTGCTTCTTCTGCCATTTTTCGTGCCTTTGGAGTAGCCTTTCGACCTCGACGTGATATATTTGGTCTAAATGGTGCAATAACACTCATTTCTTTTAACATTTGTTCCTCACGACATTTTGCCTCATGTTGACGTCGTTTCTCAGCTTCTTGTGCTCGCATTAATAATCGATTTTCAATTGGAGTCCCCTTTCGTGGTGTCTTCTTAAGAGTTTCGTATGTAATAGAAGGTGCTGGACGCAATTCACTCAGTTCCTCCTCTAATACTTTCAATCGTAAGGCTTCCTTTTGCTCTGCAGCAAGTCTACCCTTATCAAGTAATACTTCATGAATAGGTTTCTTATGCTGAATTCCAACACCTCCACTTCTTGCACTCCTTCGAGGAGATACAATTTGAGCTGCATGTGATCCAGTAATACTAGTAATACTCGGTTTGGTATCCCCTTCTCCTTTCAAGCGTAAACATTTTGGCAACGGCGCCTCAAGTATACTGTTAATTCGCTCCGCAAATAAATTAACCGAGAATGATGGTGTCTCACGCTGGTCATCAAGGTACAACTCCATTGATTTTTTTTTTCTTTTTTTTTCCCTTGGCCTCCCCTGCGTGTGACTATGAAACAACAGAAATAAAACAGAGAGAAAATAAAAATAATTAAAAAGAAGAAAACAGAAATATTATTATAGTTGTCCACCTGTTCGTTCTAATGTCATTTATTTCGGAAAAAGTACATGAAAAAAAAAAAACAGTCTCCATTCTGTCTTGTTTTCTCTTTCACTTTCTTCTTTTTTTTTTTTTTCTTTTTTTTTTGTTTCTGGAATTGACTCTATATATTTCAACTATTGCATTTCACGAATAATTTCACTCTTTCACTTTTTGAGACGACACAGGAGTAGTCTTGTTAGACTTTTGACTCTTTGCCAACGCCTCATAATCACTAAACGTACAAGAACTTGTACTACATTGAAGAACTGTGGCCATCATTTTTTGACAATGTTTTGCATAGAGTGTTGCGTTACTCTTTTCTTCAGGAGTTGGTGTATACACTGGTAAGACACGCAACTCTACACGTGTTACAAACTGAGAACTATTACGCAGCAGAAGATCGATCATATTATTACCACCACACATTCGACCAGTCCAACACGGGTTAAAGTATTTATAAGGGAAACTTATGCAAATCATTTGTACTGGTTCACCAGGCTCCAAAGCTCCTCTTTTAAAGAGAAATAGTGCCCTTTGATTTGTTGTAGTTCCCTCAGGGAAAACAATAATTTGAGGACCATTAGGATCTTTGTCTTTTGCCCGCATTTTTATTGCGTTAGCAGTATATTGACGAGACTCAGCGGCATCGCGATCAACCGTTATCGCATCTAATGCCTTCGCCACTGCACCAAAAAAGGGTACTTTTTCACAATTCTCTTTTCGAGTTACAAAAGTTGGAAAATTGGCAAATGCGAAAAGAATTACAACCTCCATAACACAAGAATGATTGGCAATTAGTATTTTACACTCAGATCTATCAGCGACTTTTCCAAATACTTTAATATGATACACACCTGCAAATACTCCAGCAAAGACGGCGAAGGCACTAGCTATATTGCCCCAAATCATAAACCAAAGAGCATTGTCGCGACGAGTGCGTCCTCCCCAACCAACCACACTCATAGTCATAGTAGCAAGGGTCCCAAATAAAACTACCAAAAATATACGCAAAAAAAGGAAACCTGTTATGATAAAAAACCCAAATTTTAGTTTTTCATATAGTGTCCAAGGAGTGTCATAACTTAAGGCAATTTCTGGTCCGACCTCAGGAGGATCATTTGTTAAATATGAGTCATCAAGGCGAAGCCTACGTGGGCCTGGAAAAAACAAGTCCCGTATATTTTCAATTAAATAAAGAGAAACCACAAACAATAGAAAAGAAAGTATCCAACGTTGAAATAGATACAACCAGGTATATCGTGTAACCAATGCCCCAGTATCTTCTTTTTCAGAAATTATCACTTTAGTCGTTCGGAAATTATCATTAGATTGTTCTATAGCGTTCTCTGGTTGTATTTCATCATGGCCTTTGGAATCCGACATTTCCATTACTTTCTCTACTCTCGCATTCTCATCCTTTTTAACAGTATCCCTGTTACTAGGTGCTGAGGCCTTTATGGACCCTATAACGGGATCCTCGTCCACTGGTGAGCCGAACAACAGCGTGCAAAGGATAAGCAATACAAGCAAACCTGCAGGAATCCGAAAAGGGCCACTTACGAACATGATAAATACAGATAAACTATCTAAACAAGTAATACACATACAAAAAAAGGAGAAAAAAAAATAAAAATAAATAAAAACACACATTTGAAAAGAAAAAAATAAAAAATATGAAACCATAAAGAAGAAAACTAAAAATAAAATATGGGATAGACATAATAAAAGATCACCGTACCGATCAAATCGATGAGAACAGCAAAAAAAAACTAAATCTCATTGCATCTTCTTACTCCAAAACACCATACCACCTCTATCACTACTACCCCTTCTATTATACGTTGTAAAATGTATTCGAATTTACCTCGTGTCCCTTTTTTTTCTTTGTCGTTGTTTACACGGTTATTTGATGGTCGTTCGTTTTCTTTTTTTTTCTTTTTTCATTGTTTGTGTTGACAAACTATTTATCAGTTCCCTTCTACCTGTTCCCATAAATAGTAAGAATCACTGGATGAATTGTAGCCAACGTAACACATTAATTTTGCATCATTTTCATTTATTGATAACAAACGCCATAATGCAAAACAAGTAGATTCGTGATCAGTATCAACCTTGTGAAAAGTTAAAGCATCATATTTATATGGGTACGAACGAGGATACAGCGGACCATAGCCGATAAGAAGTTCTTCCCCTTTTTTAATGTCACGTATAGTCATAACGCTAAGTCGTCCATCATGATACTTCGTTTCTTGTATCCAACCACAGTTACTTTCTTCTGTCTCTGCAGGTTCATTAATAAACGGTGTAAACGTACCCTGTAATTCCTCAAATACTACGTTAAAATAATCTGCGCAGTTAAGAGTCATTAGAGCATATTTAGGAACAGGTCGACCTTGATTGGATTGTTCACCACTCAACACATCTAAATACCCTGGGTAGACTCCAAGGACAGTGTAGGCGGGAATATCCTCCGCAGCCACGACACCAATACCTCCTCCCTTTTCTGGTCGAGTTTCTGTTGTCAGGAACTCACATGATGCGGGAGATTGAAAAAATTTTGTGACAACACGTCGTAAGGATGCCATTAGTAATTCATCCTCTTCCTCTGAATGAGGTTCTTGTGAATGTTTGGCAATAGATTCTATTTCAGAGAGAATGTATTCTGGATATTCTTCCTTAATGGATAATGCTCGTATAACCCCACGTCGTGCATTACAACGCACTCTCTTAGGAGGTGTTCTCTCTGGAATAGACTCATCTTCACAGAGAAAACAAGCCCGAAGAAAATCTTCAAAACCGCTATTGGCCGGTTTCCAAGCCATTTGAGATTCCGTGGCCTCCTTTGAACACCCCAAATGTACAGTCTGTCCACAATAGCAACACACCATTAGATCTTCATTTCCTTCTGGATGATGGCAAACAGAACAAATTTTATACACAGATTGAATCTGAAAACGAATAAATGCCTGCCAAACATGAAAATCCGTTGCTTCTTCGTGTGGTACATCTACTTTCAAGTTCTCATCCCAAATACTAATACCATATGTACCCTGCCACCAGAATAGTTTATTTGTTTCCTTGTCCTTATTTAACGACCAGTCGTCGCATGCCGTAGGAACAACCTCGGCCATTGCTCTTGATCCCAAAACGCTACAAAATAAAACAAAAAGAAAGAGAAAACAAAAGGGAAAAAAAAATACGCAACAACAAGAGAAGAATAAATAAATAAATAAATAAATAATAGGTAGAGAGAGAGAAAAAAAAAGACAGAATTAAACAAAAAAAAAAAAAACATCATACAGACTTGTACAAAAACAGCCCCTCTACATTTTGAATGACATAGCAACATTAGATCACTGATAAAACCAAAAAATATGTGCATTGTCACCACCTATGCATGGTTGTTCTTGTTTATATAGTTGCCATTATTCTTCTCTGTGAGTCATTTTTCATTTGTTATACACTTTTTTTTTTTTTTTGAGAGGGGGGGGGGGAAACCTTCCTTGGTGTATGAATCAGGATGAGTGTACAGTTTTTTATTTTGGTTGTTGATATCAAAAAAACAAAAAGAAAAAACAGTCATCCACGAGTGAAGTATAAATACAAGTAGATGAGATAGCGAGATATTGTATAATAATAAAAAAACAAAAAAAAAGGAGACATATGTCTCACGGTACATATGTATTTCTTTTTTTTTAAAAGGCAATGCTACATTTGGGTTCCATAATAATCATCATCTGCGAATACAGGCGATTTTTTTTTTTTTTTTCTTTGCTTCTGCACGACTACAAATAAAAGAAGAAAGTATATGAATTACAAAAAGTATAATAGAAAAAGCGTCAATAAAGACTACACATTTGTGGAGAGGGGAGGAGGAAAAAGCGTTAAATAACGAAATTGAGGACCAGCAAAAAGAAAAAAAAAGTGAGGAAAACACTATTGATATTCAGAAATAGATTCCCTCATTATTGCAAAAGAATGGCTGGCAGAAAGGTAAAAGAGCAAAAAAAAAAAAAAAAAAAAAAAAAAAAAAAAA